CCTTCTTTGATTTACTTCTTGTTTCCATCAAAATTCAACTTGGATTCTGGTAAATCCCACTTCTGACACCAAATGTACCGTGGATGGCCGAGTATTTAAACTCTTTCTTCAGCTTACAACTTTTATTCCACTCGGTACAACTTTAACTACAGAACAGGAACAAACTAACTTCAAAGTTACCGTCAACTTCACTAACAATAACAATAACACACGGAAAACACGCGTTTCCGGCTCCCGGAGTTTAACTTCTTCTGCACTTGGTCGCTCCTGTCACTTTACTCCCCCTGTCTGGTTCTCGTCGTCGCTTATATACTTTTCTCCAGGTATTCCAGATAGTTGTAGAAATCTCCAGAACAGGTGCGAAACTTCCCGCTTGTCAGTGTCATATTTGACAGTAAATGGGGCCCAAATGGGGCTCCCATTTACTGAAATACCATGAATTTCGATCCCCCATTCCAAACGTGAGTACCCCAGGCCATTTCCGTTACAATATAAAATTATAGAACAGCCAGTAGTCAAGCTCAGAGCACAAATGCAGCTGAATACATAGGTACTAATACAGGAGCAACTTACTAAATTATCCACCAATGAGGAGCCGACACTAATTTTTAAGCAAAGATACGACAGTTTCTGGTTACAAAAAGAAATTTTCCAATTTTATATCCAGCATTATGGGTTCTTGTACTTTTTGACTGTTTTTCCGTCTTCCTATTCGGTAAAGCGGGGATTCAGATTCACAAAAAAAAAACCGACTAGGAATTAGTCTTCGTGGAGATTTGCGGTTGCTACTCACAAACATTGAGCCGGACATAAATACACTCATAACATCCATCAGGTTCATCCAAGCCATTAATTTATCTTGTATTTTAAAACAAAGGTTATAATTTCTTTAAATATTTCTTCAGCAAAATGTTGACACGAGATAGACACAATCATAAATACAGTCACTTACTTTGAAAAACTCCCAGGTTTTATGGCATCCAACTTCTATGACATTTTGCTTTATAATAAACATATTCCAAAAGAATTAGAATATTGAGATGGATCTCCATAGTTCTTGGGATGTAGGGAACTTTTTATAAATTAGGTGCTTCAAATATTTACAAATAATGCAATCTCATAATGGATCATGTTGAATTTTTGACAAATATCAGATGCTTGTTATAAATAATTAACTTCAACACACAATGTTGTATGTACGTTATGTTAATAATGTAAGTATGCTGTGTTGGGTCCACATAACATACACCCACTTTTCCGCAATAATGAAATTTAAAAAATGATAACCAGACAGTGCTCACATTAATGATTATATAACATTGATGAAATAGATTAATCTGAGTACTTCAACAGATCACCTTCTGCAGTAAAATATAGTTGTTAAAGGCAAAATAGGCAATCATATGATGACATAATTTCTTACACTTTCCAGTTTCCAATTAAAAAATGCTTAAGTACATCTTGGCGGCAGCATTTTTTATTCTATTTATTCCCATATACTTGTTACTTTAATTATATTTAATGTGTAAAATGAAAATTTTTTTTCGAAATAGGCCGGTTCTGGTAATTTGCAATATTATTGAGACCTCTTAAGGAAAACGGCAATAAAGAATACATCGATACATATTGTGCCGTCGGAAAACTATTTATGTATTTATAATATAATTACTATTATTATTTAAATTTGCATTTGTCAATCGTGAGTAACTTGGAACAAGAAATTATAATTTGTTTTATATATTCTATCATTGAACGAAGTTTTAATATGCGTCTTCTTAACCTCTACATGTCAGCAAAGTAATGACAAACTTATAATATTATGGGAATTAAGCATATTGTGGTTTCTGACAGTAATTTAAGAAAAAATAGTACGTCACGATATAAAATAACGTTTGTTAGGATAATCATGCTTCGCCTACGTGCGTTTTTATACATTTTTCAGCAGCATTCTATTAAAGTTATCCTTAATTTTATGTGAAAATCTTTAGACAACTGAACTTTGCATCTGTGTTCAAGTGCTAATAAATTTAAAACAATTTTTTTATACAAATGTTTTAACCATTGCACTGAACGAATTTTTCAGTGGAATCTGTTTTCGGCCAATAATTAATCTATCATTCTTTTTGATTTAGATCGGAGTACTGGTGCATCCCTTGATTAGACAACTTCCAAAATGGTAAGTAAAGAAAACTGTGTTCTTGTTTGATTACCATACGTAGCCACAGTCTAAAACATAACTCACATAAAGAAGCATTAATAACAACAAAAATACGTTATGCCGTGAATCACCAACAAAGTCTTATTCAAGGTTTGTTGGCTTTTCATGAATGAAACTATAATTTAACAGCAACCCACGCATTTGGAGCTAAATTATATCTGTCTAGGATAAAATTGTTTACTCTTTCTCAGACTTCTGTGTGCGTTTTACAACATTTTTATCGTGTCATCTTGGAAAGCGGCCATAACGAACCCGCAGCGCTCTTGTTTACTACAGTCATAACCTCAGTCATGATCTACTAATTTAATTAGAAGACCACGCGAAATTAAATTAATGTGGGAGAATGCTTTAGGAAGGTCAAGTTTGTCCTTTTCATTTTTAATTGAATGTTTAACAATGTCGAAAAGTTATGACTCTGCAATGAAGGGAAGCTGCAGAAAGGTTGTTTTATAATTTGGCATCTAGCCAGTCAATTTTCACTTGGAAATGTTAGTTATTGTTAGTATGCGACAAAATGACCTTCAATTTGAATTCATTTTCAATTATAATCACTACTTTTTAATTATCTTGGACATTGCTCGGCTCGGTTAATTGTTCACCATTGGCAATCTTGCAAACTAAGATGTATATGTAATTTTTGTTAAAATACACTTTTACGCTTCTCCAATGCGGCCTTTAAACCTGAAAGTTATCGAGAAAGAAATCAGACACCTATATCACAGAAAGAGCTATATTTTACAAAGTTAATTTAACGCCTGACTGCATGCTGCTTTACAATTGTTTTTTTACGCTGCTCCCTTTATAAGACACATTCGCTTCCAAGCAAGATAGAAATATAAGTTTACTGAAAAACTATTGGTGTTCTTCAATTTTAGCCGATACTTATTAGGCGCTTAACGTATTCTCTAAATGACATCTTTTTTCGACAATAGCTGTTGACGAAAAACAGTTGGAATCGTGGAATTTGAACGTAACGGGTTTAGATGACTCGACAACAAATTTAACGACCTGTGTATTACATTAATTAGACAACTGATAAATGTGTGAAACTCTATAAGCAAATAATTAAATTTCAGGTAATTAGAATGTTACATATAATGAAGTTTGTGAAAGATCTTTCTTTCACGCACAACCTTGTTGAAAATGTAAATTTTGTTATCACAAAAACCAAATTGAAGAACTGAGAACGAATTGAATAAAATGAACTACAGTCTTCTGCGAACAACAATCAAGAATAGACGTAACATATTTCCAAAGTACAATGAGAACTCGCTTGCTCTTTCAGGCATAAACGCAACACGTGCTTTAACAGATTGCAGTTCGGATAATTATTTCAAATTAAATGACGATTGACATAATTGAATAAGTTTAAAACGGCTTATGAAACGAATCAGTGGAACAAATACACTAATTTATTCTTTAAAACTATGGTGCTCTGGGATTCACATGGAAAATGCATCTGACGATCCAAGCCACTTGTTCTTGCGAACCGTCAGAAAGAAAATATTTTCCATGGCGGTCTAAAAGCACGAAAAACTCACAAACTTGAAGCAATAGCCAGGAAACCTAACTCTGCTGGTGCCTTGATTTATTGGTGGCATGTCAAAATGCGTGTCTTGGGCCAGGCAAACAACTTTGCATTAAGTTCGCGTCTTGTCACCATATTCAATATAATCATTGAAATTTTGATTTTAAGCTATTCATTTAAATAAGGCATTTTCGTCAATTTGCCACAAACATTGACATTAACATTAGCATCTGAAAAGGAGGATTTAAATTTCAAAATTAAGGAACACACATTTTAAGCAATTGTGTTGAAATGTTTAAAATTTGAGCAGTATGATCAAGAGCAGACGAGAAGTTGAAGTTGAAAAAAACATGTTGAGGGTGGTTTCGCATAACTCTGAATGGCTATATTTTTCATAGGGTTTGGGAAATGTAGGTAAATACATTAATATTATAACAAGAGAATTTTTTGAAAAAATATTCACCTGGCCGCTAGGGACCTTATTGCAGTTAAAGTATCCATCGTGCATTTTTTTTCACCACCATAACCGGAGTCAAGATTTTGAAAAATATTTTTTGTATTTCAAAAATGTATGATCATTTAAAAAGTCTTACTTGAGACATTTAAAAGTGTTTGTCTATTTTTGTCATTGGGTCAAACAAATCTAGGTTTGTAGAGTAAATGTAACCGGTCCTTAGGGAAATCATTTATTCAAGAGGGGTTATCTCACGTTACCCACCCCATACACTAATCTAGTGACCTATATTTAGAGGTTGTTTTCTCCAATGCAGGGTGGTGATTCATTTGCCGTTCGTGCCAGTGCACTTTTATCGCTCATCAGCTGTCTGAGGGCACATCCCCAAAGAAAACTGTTTTCTTTGATTCTTTCTTGTTTTTCAAAGCCACTGGACGTTTTAATGAATAAATTGCGATTTAATTTAAACGATTCGTTTCCACTATTTTCAGATCAAACGTAGCTAGTATATGGAGATGTTAATTGAAAATTTTATGTGTATATTAAGTTAAGACCAATGATAAGAGATACAGAGTTATTCTGTATCTCTTTTAAATAAAAATGCCGTAGTAAAGAATTGTGAATGAACTTCTAAGACCATATTATCTGCCTGTTCCCATCTGGTAGGCTAGAAATTATATCCCTACACTTTAATATGAATATGTCCTTCCCAGACTCAGGTATGACAGAACAAATAATCTTGTAGTTTGTGTAATACTCGTCATCAAGATAAGTCAAACTTGTTTGTCGTTTTCCGTCGTTTGGTCTTCCGCTGTTATAGCTTTATCTTCCGAAGAAAGAAAAAGATCTGTTTTCGGGGAATATCAACACTTTCTAATCTGTTCTCGTTAAAAATGATATATTTGCTAAACAATGCAAGCAGTCATTTTGTTTCAAGATAATCAATAACATAATGGTAGTATCAATTAGCAAACACCTCGAGGAGCGATTAAGTCAATCACAAATCATGTGGCAACAGGTAAGGCCGTGCATAAAGAGAGTGATTTAATTGCGTGTTCACTGATGATTAATTCCGTGTAAGTGATTTAGATGCACACAAGGAATAAGTGAAAAACAACGATTAGTATCGAATATACAGGGTCATTCAAAATTGGCGTCATTTCTTTTAAAGGGTCATATGGGCTCAGCAAAATACAGAAAATGTGTTTTCGAAAATTTCCAGAAGCTTTTCTACCCTACGTTTTTACGTTTTAAAGTTTAAATGAAATGTTTGTTTAATTTCAGTAACGTCCTTACTAACTACGTGTCAAATGTTGTCGTGAAAAGCAACACATGCTATGCGTGACAACCGTCTTCTAATTACTGCTTGTTTTATAGTAAGATTAACGTCATGGAATTTATAGTTTCAAAAAGAAATGCTTTGAAAACACTGCGAAATACCGACTTTCACCAAGAATACTTATTTGAATAGAAAATATGAGCGAATGAAAGAAAAATAACAGAAATCTTAGTATTTTAAAGTACAAAAATAGTAATGAACAAAGCAAGACCAAGACCAAGACCAAGACTTGCATGGTCTGCATACATAATCTTGGTCTTGGTCGTGCAAATCAGTTTGTAATAAGTTTAATAATGTATTTAATTATATTGTAATTCGAAATTGTTGACCGGTACTTTTTCATTGTCTATTAAGATCCAGAAGATCTTCGTACAGAGAAATCTAATTTATTTTCACTTAGTGTAATTTACATATTCTAACGAAAGTACAACAACAATTAAATATCTACCGTAAGCTGTAATGTTTATACAGCAACTGTATGTAAGGACTCTGGCAAGGGACATTGGAAAAATAATTATTACAGTGTACATTGTAAACTGTTCATCAAAATGTATTTACTACTTGAGGTTTTACTGTTTTATAGAATGTGCATAATTAACACGTTAATTAACTTATACAATTTGAAATTAAAATTTCCCAAAAACTGGATCAAAAATTTTCCACATAGGACTACATACAAATAATAAGATACAAATGAATGCAAGCTTTTGGAAATGTGGATGACCAAGAGCTTAAACAGAGTAACCAACACGCTGGTTTAATGGATAATCGGTGGCAATGTTTCCTAATAATTAAAGATACTTTTGAAAAAATTATTTCCGCTGGAACTGAAGTTGGAGGAACGACATTAATACCTACATTATTCGGTATTATTGTAATTATATTTTTCAAGTTACGGATAGCAGCCTATTTCCATGGAACATCCTGTATAGTCTAAGATAAAGATATATTCACTTCAATAGTATTTCCTCTTAGATGGGTATTGAGTAAAATCAATTAAACGTTAGCAAATGATAAATAGATATTAAAGACAGATAAATTGATATTAAGGAAATTATAAATAAATACTAGAAAATATAAATATTTGTATATTCCGCTACAGTGAAAAGGGTACTCTATGAAACAAACTCAGCTTGTACTTAAGCAAACAGAAGGGGCACAAACAATACATTTGGACAATATGGGTAATATGGACAACTAACTAACTTTATTTAGCAAATATTTATACCACCTACCCAGTGACGCCAGACCGGTAAAATTATAATCCCCAGATGGTGTCCAAAAATGATAAGTGAAACAAAAAAGTTTATTCGAAACGGTATATTACAACATTTAAAAAATGTAAAAAAATGGAACTGATAATTTTGCTTCAATTTGTAATCTACTTATTTATTCTTTTAAATTCAAGTTTTAATTTAAATAGGTATTTGACAAAGTTCATATGTAGATGGGGCAGTTGCAAATCACACTCACTGCAGGTATTCTGATTTTTGCATCCAATATAATTTCCAGGAAATTAAATAGACCTTAAAGGAGATTCTCAATTAATCGAGGTTTTTTGGGAAATTCTCGAGAAATTTTGGTTCCTCTCTACTTGTTAGCCTTCTGTAGACCGATATGATAATAGTTTCTTCCCAGAATTATTTTTTTGGAAAATCGAAAAATTTAAAAAATCCCTAGAACTAGGGTAAAATTCCCTAGTAACACTGCACCTACCCCCGATTTAGGTACCTAATATTAAAAAAAGAAAAACATCTGGAATCGATCACATTTGAAGTAATGTTTTATTTATGTGGGAATACTTGACAATAATAATGAACAAATTGGAAAAATAAATCGCTTACTTCAGTTTCGTTATTATTTTATAATTTTAAAGGTGGTTTCAAAAAAGGCAAAGTGCCGTGCAAAGGCCGCCTGCACTTTCTTTTAAAATTGATAAGAATTCGATCAAACATGACATAAAATTTCCGTCTCGCTCAGTGGATAATAGAAAAATAACGACAATTATTGCGTCACTGCCAAAAAAATGAACACACTAGACCATAGATTTTCATGTACTATGTGGCCCACATTTGAGCAGCACAAAAGTGTCAAGAACCAGCTATTGATTAAATTCGTTCTGTTAATACACACCAAGATATTTGTTAAAAATTTGCGTCGTTTCATGAACGTTCTCCTCGTACTGACTTTGTGCTGATTTTTTTCCAAATTAAAACTGTTATAAGGTCACTCAACACTCAATATTCAAATTGCTTTATTGATTATTTATTAAATTTATTATGTTAATAACTACTACGAATCGTGCTAACTGTAACGTTGTTTGAGATTTTTCCAAATTCCTTTTGCAAAAATTTCTTATACGAACTGAATGAGCTCTAACTCTGCCAGAATTTTAAATGGTTTTTTAAATCCCATGCTTAGTTAACATTTACAATCTAAACTACTAGGTTGGAATGAACTAAGATTTATATTCCGAAATATTTGATAGAATAATTTAGACCCGTCTTGGCGCTGAAGCTGTTAAAACCTTCGGATAGGCTGAAGCTTCGCAACTTTCCTTTCCCGTTGTCTGATGATGTAACTCAAACTTTTGAGGGAGTAGATTAATTTTTCATTAGATGAAGTACGATTATGGCTTTGGTATCGAAATCAATTAGCACTTTTTTCGAAAATTGGGTTCAATTTTAAATGCTCAAAACACTTTCTTCATCATCCAGAGCACGAGCTGTACTTGGATGTTCTGTTACATCGGTGCTGTTCATCACTGCTTGAAACGTTTACCAATTTGTGCAAGCTTAAAGCTGCCAACTTAAGTAGGTAAACATACCAGTTTCACAAAAATTGCGGTCAACACGATCAAAAGTTTTACGATCAGGTAGTCGTCGATCGAAAAAATTGTCAAGCATAGAGACCAACTGCTTCTGTTGCGTTACCCAACTAGGCCAACCTGTACAGAGTGTTCCGTTTCGACGTTCCTACATACTTGGTTATAAGCAGAAAAACTAATCTGCTCTTAACATGTCACACTCCTGCTTGTTTCCTTGTTTGTAGATCTATTTTTGCTAAGATATGAGGCCTTGAATGGATATGTTGGGCTTTGCGTATCTACCGTCAAATTTTCAGTTTTGCTATTTAAATTTTTTTTTTTGCGATATTATAATTTTGTTTTGCTTATTATAATGTTACTAAATAAATGCAAAAACACTAACTACTAAGTTAGTATTTTTGTTCTTACCTGTTCAATATTTTTTATAAACCATTCCAGCGCCAACGATTGACGAAATTTACTAGGTGATTAGTAGTTGGAAACGTTAATACATTTTAATAGATTTATTTCTTTATTGCCTTTTAATAGATGATTCCTTGGATGTCACTATTTATAACTTTATGGTTTATGGATAAATGTGTGCAAAACCCATGGAGATATTTTAACAACATTTTCCAGGCATCAATAGTCAAGGAAGACGCATGTTTTGCAATAAAATAATTTTGTCTATAAAATATTTAGGCAGTGACGTGCGTACCTGCACGCTACCGAATTTGATAAGGAAAAAAATAGGTACGCCACTGTATTTTTTAATTATTACAATTATTCTCTAATTCCTTGTTGGATTCCAAATATGATGGTTAAAATAATGCCCCTTATTCATGAAACACCTTGCATATTCATATGTTGGAGAAATTCAACCCTAGAAAAAGTATCAATAAGAAAGCATCTCTGAAAAATGTAAACTGGTGATCTTATGCACAGCAAATACGATCAGTCAATCGTATTTCCATATAAAGTGTAAAAATAAAATTGGAAATTATTGAATTTAAATAAATAAAAATTATCAACTAATAATCATTTACCGGTATGAGTATAACCTTGCATGACCGCTATGAGTTCATATTTTCTGTATATTCCCATTATTTCATGCTAATAGTAAATGACTTATTACGTCATAAAAACAGGAAATTTTTCTATTTTTTTTTCTGGATTTGGATGTGGATTTTTTGTCTGAACTGAGAAAATGCGTAATTTTCTGGGGTTTCCCGAAATTGTATCGGAAATGAATTTGATATGGATTAGTTTTATTTATAAATACTTGATTGGGAATGAATGAATACTGAGATTTTCAACAACAAAATAAAATAATTGTCATTTTACCGGACAGTGCTCCAGTGAAAATTGAAAAAATAACGTTTTTGCTTTGTTTCTCATCCACTTTCAATATTGTCAAGTTTTCTGGGCTCATTGGATTATCATTTTTATCTGCATGTTTTTGGGGCTGATTTCTTCCTAAAGGATAAAAACTGACGTTTTTTTCTTTTCAGTCTTCATATGCCCGCACGCATCATTTCAAAACTTGTGGTTAAAGATCAATTATTTATTAATTAGTTATTAATTAATCGAAAGACTAACTTTTGGATTAAGGATTTCAAGAAAGTTGGAGAACATTGAGTTTTGCTTTCATTAGAACCATATCAACAGGTGATTAATATGAACTGAGAATTGGACACCTACACGAAAAACTTTGCGCATAATAATAATTAGCAGTTAATTAAACGTAGTTTAAAAATATACAGAAAATTTCCGATAGACGAATAACAAGGTTTTTTATTTCAATTTTGCAATACCGCTGTGAGTCAACTGCTTGATAATGCAACTTTAAATAATTAATTTCGAAGCTGTTTTAAATTTCAAATCGAAAGTATAGTTTATCTACGAGTATACGGACGATCCAGTGAGGGGCAGTGGTGTGGGAGGGAACAGGGGACGTTTGGGACACGCGTACGACCCTTGAATACTAAAACAACCTCGGACGTGACTTTTAAGCACCTATCGTTACACCACCAGCTCGTTGGTTCTTCAGTTCTTGGTACCCATGTTCATCGTCCTTTCGAATTATTACTATCTTGTGTCACTGCCACCGGAAGTCCAACCTAACTACGATGATGGCTTCACAAATTTACATTTTTATGAATAGGCAGCCATTTTACTTCGTCGTAACGAATCAGTATCTTCTGTATAATGTGTATGTTGAAATAAGCTCACCTCTTAACAGGGGCATTTCCTTTTACGTACATTACCACCAACAATATTACAACATTTCAAACAGGATAGCGCAATTTTTCAACAAAATTGTAGATTTCAATTTTTTCTGCCCTCCGCGTTGAAAAAGTTTGGTTTACCCCAGCATGAGCGCTCAGAAGCGGAAATCGTAATCGAAATAATCATGAGGATTTTCTATTAAATGAATCTCAGTCGACTACATACGTACCTATTTATTAGTATGAGAAGTTCAAATCCATAATCTATACGTGAAGAAATCGAATAGTTGACTTTATGTACTGTAAAATACACAATTGACGACTTTCATCAGCTCAGGTTCTGGCTAAAAACGATGGTGGGTCGGTAATTCATACATATATTTAAAACCAAAATCCTTTATTAATTTATTTACTCCACATACATAGCAAACGATAAACTCATCCGAATATCAAAAAGGATATGAATCCTCTATTGGCCGTTGTTATCATTAAACAGTAGTTCCACACTAATACGTTTTCCGTTTCTACTCTCTGCTAGGTCTAGCTTATACACATAAAAAATGAATGTAGCTAATTAGCAAGTAATAAAAAATGAATACAACAGAAATAATGCCATAAAGGAAATGCAAAACATATATTTTTACTTAATTCTGATTAAACGTGGAAATGAACATTACATTAATTTTGAAGAATTCGCTATCAATCAATACGGATCTAACAAGGCACTCCATTTTGTGATGTAAGTAAATAAAAGTATCAAAGGAAGAAAACAATAGATGTCTAAGTACGACTAAAACATCAAATTCGTTGTAAAAAAATGAAATAAAAATATTTCATACAAGCTAAAGTAATTTGAGCCACAACGTTTCATTATTTACTGTGGCGTTTCACCATACCAAAGACTCGACTATATTACTTTAACTCGCTGTGTTAATAAACAATGCCTCACACATTCATAACTCCAACTAAATTATATACTAGTTTTTGGCAGGTTTGTTTTGTAATTTGTTGCAGTGCTTGGAACAATTCCAGTTCTTTATTAAAGACAGTATTGCAACAAGAGATGTGGCTACTATTTAGTATCGCTTAAAGAATTCTGCAATTCTTCTTGATAGATTGAAAGTACTTACTTGATTTTATTTTTCGTTTAAATTACTTTTGACATTTTTTAAACAATCAATAATTAATTACCAAAAACTAGTCGTATCGTATCGCGAATAAAAATCCTAACGTCGACGTTTACGATAAATCAAAGATCTGTGTTACATCGCTAAAAATTACGACATCATTACGCGACGCAAAGATTAACATTACCTTCGTAAATATCGAAACGCCGACATTATCGAATTTTAAACCTTTAACATGCAGGTTCGAATTTAAACTTCTAGGTATAAAATCATTAGGACTGACTGATTATATAATAAAATATAAGATTAATATTAGGCACTTAACTTAAGTTCCATTATTGCATCTTGGCAAATACCTTATAAATAAAAAAAACTTATATTAACGTAGTCCGTTCAAAATATACAGACATGCAGGAAACGTTGAAATAAAGATTTGATTTCAACGATTACAACACATTGTAAATGCATAAGCTATGAAAAGTGCACTATAATGAACGGACTATTGTTTAACAAGTAAAAACTGTGTCAAACTCATTATAAAAGTCGCATTCCATACAAGACTTCCAAGTGCAAGTGAAAGTCTTGTCAATATTATCAGTATCATAATTCCTTTCAAGTTGGTATATTACAAGGTAAGACAAGTGCTGGATATTTTTGAGTCAGTCTGTCATTGCTGTCATAGCACAGACATTGTTTGTCCTATTTATATCTAGAAATATATCCTTTGTTTCTAGAACACAGACGCTGTGAGGCCATTTCGCTAAACGTTACAGAAACGTCATGGGTGACACTTTTCAAAGGTACAACAATGTAATAGATGTAATATAAAAATTATAAACAATCAAACAATATGAAAAAAACAATAAATAAAAACTGTTGAAGTTTTAGCAACCATTTGGTCATAAGAACTATTAGTCCATTTTAAAAAATACTATCGGACGTTCGTTGTGGTTACAAAAACCATACTTACTATTAATATTATTTCAGATTTGTTGTGCTATATGCACAACAAATACTTCTTTACGTATTCCTTTTTTTAAAAAATAGTAAAACTGCTATATACAGACAGTAACAATATGCTACATATTTATGTTTGTATCTTTATATTGTCTTCAAAAACTTGAATTGAAAGCTTCTTGGCCATAATTAACAGTCTGAATATAAAAACCATCTAAACTTGTCACTGGAATTCAGTGGATAGGAAATGCATTTTTTTCTTGAAAAATTATATTTAAATGCAAAAGAATTTAGAAAATTACAGACCGGGACCGCCTTAAATGTCAAAATAATATGGCAGTTTGAAAGGGTGCAAATCCATTGTAAACTATGGCATCAGGTAAATTCCAACATTCCTGCTTTTAATTACCTAGCTATAATATAATTCTAATTTTTTATCTCACTCCATATAAAAATAGTAACTATAAAAAATACTCACTGATTCACGGGATTTGTACTGCTCTCCATTTAAGTTAGTGTCACCAGAAAACGTCCTTTATGTGAATCGTTTTTATTGATTTTCGCAAAGTATATTGCCTGCTCGAAAACGAATACAGAATTCCAATTTAAATTGTGTAAAAAAATACATAAAATTTATAAAACAAAAAAATTAAATAGTAAAGAACTATGAAATGGTTTGGTATTTTTCAGAAACTAGACATTTCACAAAAAAATCCTTGATCTTATTGATACTTCTTACATTAATTAATTAAAGAATTAAAAATTGCGGCTCGATTTTCTGGTGGCAATAGTATTTAATGAGTCTCACTTAAAAGCCTATTAATATTTCCACTATGTAGAGTACCGGATTCTTAGAAAATTATTTTTATTGATACAAAAACGAGAAATAGATAAACATTGTGGGGACTTCAACTTTCTATTAGTTATCACATATTTGTATTGACGCGGGAGAATAAACGTCGTTTTATTCAGAAACGATTTTTCGTCATTTGCGACCCATTTACCCATATTAACACCCTATATGACATTCAGTAATTGTTTCCAACTGTTATTGCAAAACTGATGAATTTCAACGAAAGTAAAATAATGTTATAGAAACAATTACAATACAGGCGCCCAGAAATACCCAAACTAAGCATTAAAAAAACGAAAACCGTTAAAATAAAAATATTTTGTAATGCAGCATTGCTTCTAAAAACGTTAAAGTTAATAATCCAATATACAGTTTAATAATTTGTTGCAACAAAAATGAATATATTTGCTATTCAACTATTTGAATTTCCGAAATATTTTTCTAAGAATCAATACTGGCTACACACATGGAGGTACTCCGCTTGATAGAGCATTACAATAAGAATAAAAAAGCAAAGTTAACTAGATATGTTCATTTTGTTTAAGAGCAGCTAAGGCTTAAGTACGTTGATATATACAAAAATACAGTTAAAGTAGCACCTACAGAATTATATCGGCGGTCGTCCTTCATAATGTAATTTGGGACTTACCGACCATTGATAGTTATTCATATAATCACAACACTGAGGTTCGTACAAGCAACTGAGACAGACAAATGTCAAAATGACAAGTTGGAAGGCTAATGAAGCCTTGAAGAGCCGTTTAAACCACCTTGTATTTTCAGGGTCATTACCTGGGTCATCATCGCCACCATCTGGTTTAGCAGATTTATCTCCTGTCGATTTTTCTTTTTGGCTGCAACAAAAAAAAATTGTGTAACACTATCTCGTTTCATGCTTTCAACAGGAATTCTGATTGCTTTAATTGTAGTCAACGGTGGATTTAAAACAAAAAGTAAATCAAAGCAATGATTTCCATTTTAAAATGCATAGCGCGCTGAACAAGGTGAGAAGAGAATTATCGGAAAAAAATTAACAACCTTTGTGAGCGGTTGCCCATATTTATTAGTAATTTATAAGCAAGAGATGTTAATCGGAGACAAGTGTTGACACGTGGTTGAAAAAGTTGATCGAACTAAAGATTTAATAGTACTTTGCACATACTTTTACATTCGTTTACGATCGTACTGAAAATATTTTTTAATTAATTGAACACGGTTACACCATAGCATCTATATTCCTTTCTATGTTCAGAAACTTTTGGAACTGAAGAAAATGTTTTCTTGCTGCATCTATTTGATTTCAGCTGCTATTACAAATTTGCATTTTAAAGATATAACTCATAATTTTCCTGGCTTTGGTAAATTAGCTCGGATTGCATTTAGTCTAGTAAATGCGGTATTTTAACAATATTAATCTCACAGGCTAATTTATTTTCCGATCAAATAGGGCCTATTCTGCTAACACAGTTGCAGACAAAGGGAAAGCTTGAAGAACTGCGATAGCGAAGTGGTCCGTCCATAAAAATGATACTTAATCAGCTAATAGCAGGCTTAATTTGCAAACTTTACAGTACAGCGTAAAAACTCAGTTGGGTTGGTCTGGCAAACCGAATGATATACCGGGTGTCAATTTGAAAACTTCCCACCCTTAATATCTTTCTTGCAGTTGAAAATATGAAGAATCCGAAAGACCCGCCAATTTTATTTGTAAGGGGGACACTTTAAATGAATATTTTTAGCCTTCCTGTTTGAACCCCCTAGGGCGGGTAGATATCACCCTTAGAATCTTAAATGTGAAGTGGGGTCAAGTGGCACATCATTTTAAAGGGTGTTCAATTATCTTTACATTAGTTACTACTTTGTTGCTTTTTGTATAATGGCGTTTCGATGTTGTAGAAACAATTAAACTTGCGTGCATTCAGATATTGGTTTTCAGGTTAGTGTTTACACAAAAATCAGTGTATTGGGTTTCCTTGTAATACAGATAATTAGAAGAGTAGGTTACACTATTAAAATCGTTGAATAACTGGAAGAAAATGTAGTTTAAACATTGATCTATTATTTTTGATTTTGATCGTATTTCCGTTTATTGATTATTTTACATCCATAAAATTTACTTTTTATTTGCGAAAGAGAAATTTCTACAATAAACCCTATAATAGTATAGGGTTGATAGTACCTACGCAGTATCTTATTAAATCGTTCAAAATGTTGTCCAGTGTGCTGTAAACAATAATAAAGTCTGTTTCCAAACTCTTTCCTAACTTTTCGGAACAGTTTACCGGGAATTGACCGGCATTATGCTGCAATTAGCCTTTTAAGGTCATCCATATCAGCAGGTTGTTTTTTTATAAACAAGGGACTTAGCATGTCTCCAAAGCAAGGAGTCTAAGGGTGTTCAACACGGTGATCTTGGAGGCCATTCAATTAGTCCCCTTCTGCCCATCGATCGATCTGGGAATATCCTATCAATGTTAGGGAGGGTTCGAAAATGCATTTTACTATTGTATACAGTCAAAGAGACAACATTTTGACGAACTTATAAGATAGTGCGTAAGTAGATCCCATGGGTTTCATTATAGAAAGTTATCTTCCGTAAATAAAAAGGGATTTTTCTCGAAGTAAAATAATCAATAAATCCGAAATCGATTGTTTAAACTAGATTGTCTTCCTGTTATTCAACGATTTTAACAGTGTAGCCTACTCTTCTAATCATTAGTAATATAAGAGACCCAATAACATAATTTTTGTTTGAACACTAATCTGAAAAACAAAATCTCAATAAAGGCAAGTTTAATTGTTTCTGTAACTTTGCAAAAACTTGACTTGCTGTGACAAAAAGCAACAAAATAGTAACTAATGTAAATATAATTAAACGCCCTTTAAAACGATGTGCCACTTGACCGCCTTCCGATTTAAGATTCTAAGGGTGACATCTACCAGTCCTAGGAGGTTGAAACAAGATGGCTAAAAATATTAATTTAAAGGGTCCCCCTTACAAATAAAATTGACGGGTCGTTCCGATTTTTCATATTTTCAACAGCAAGAAAGATATTAAAGGTGGACAGTTTTCAAATTGACACCCGGTATATTCAGTAATAAGATAAGTACATGTTTTCGGATGGAATTATTTACTTTACGACACATTTTCTTTAACTGCAACTGCAAAATCAAATACCAAAGGCAATAAAAATGCAAGCGCACCAACTTCATCGAGTTAATATACTTATATCGATATAAAAAGTATGAACTTTTTATAACTAGTAGTTGCTTACCAGATTTAACGACATTTTAAGACAAAAATCACTCTTATTTATAATCATTCATATTCAGAATACTTTGAACATATTTAGATATACCGATTTTAAAATAGTCGCCCAACAGCCTTATAAAATATGTTGTTGATTTTTTATAAGAAATGTTTTTATAAATAAATTATATTTAACTGAAATTATGCAAATATTTTCGTTCCTAGATTTGGATAAAATCATGCTAAACGAAAATAGCCAATTAAATTCGCTTCATATCTTAAGAGCTATAGAAATGACGCAGCATTATTTACCGCCGGAAAAACATCATGCATCAAAAATAGAAATGCATTTGGTCACTTCATACGTACGGCGATTTGAGAAAATGGATGATTTTAGTTGGATTATATAAAAGATCGTTTCGAATTATTGTTGAATAATCATGATAGAATTGTTTTTCATCTAAAAACTATATAAATGATAAATCTACAAAAAGCTCAGATTTTAATAGGATTTCAGTTTCAGTTTTTCATACAGCAAGTTCAAACTTTGAGGTTTATGCTCATACTATATGGCTAAAACATATGCTGCCTTATTCCTGTATATTCACCGGATTGTTCAGTTATCCACTTAATTACAGAAATATTTGATAAAACCATGTTTTGTCATAAAAGGTCTGAAATTTTAAATAAGAACGCATGCAGCATAAACATGTGAAATCCTCATTGGACAAGCAGCTGACCTATCACAGTTAGAGAGAAAAATATGAAAAATATTCAATAATCAATGAAAAAAAGAAGGAAATAATTTAAAACTGAAGAAATCGTCTTGACATACGAAAAATTACTTAATGATGAAAAAGTTAAACTAGTCCCACACACACCAGAGCGACAGACCACCAGCTCTGGGAGTGCGTAAAAGAGCATTTCCCAAACCTCACCGGAAAAAAAAAAAAAAAAAAAAACTGTTCATCAGTTTCTCATAGAACGTCGTACATAAAACTTGTCCGATATTGCTGCGATTCCAAATCGGGCAACGGATATATTTCTCACCCTTGCAAACACTTTTTGTCGGTGAATTTGGACATAAGTACTGAATGTCAATGTAATTTACTAAGCATATTTTGTTATTTTTTGCATATTTCAGAGCCCAACAAACGTTTAAAACAGTGTTTGTACAATAAACTAATTATTAATTTTAAGCTAATAATGTATATGGTTAGTAAATTCAAATACAAATATTATGTTCTGAAACAAAGCTAATTTAAAGTTCATTTGGGACACAAGTTCACTTGCATCGCTACTTATGCTAGCTGTGGGATGCGCAAAGTTTTAATAAGATCTAAGGAAAACGCGTCAGAATCGAACGTTAGGAAAAGCAGGCAATTCGTATTCTGAACACAAGAACGTGGTCTGAGCATCACTCCTCGCCCACCCTGACTATTTAACGTATTAGGGTGTCATAAGACAGTATTCCCCGAAATGTAAAAGTAGGTATTTTTCCACGATGATAACTTTTAATATATTATTATGCCGTCTAAAATTGAAGCATTACCGGCTTTTAAAACAACAGGGAAGAAATGGTACTATCATAAAAACAGCAAATTGCTGAAATTCTCAAAAAGCCTAGACTTTAAAGAGTTTTAGATATCAGATTTTAGAAATCAGATACCGTCAATCGGCTCCTTACCAGGAAAAAATAAAAAAATAGTTTGAAACTGGAGAAGTAAACAGGCAACTCAGTTAACCAGGGTCGAAAACCGGTCCTAAGAGACTTGTTGATGAGAGGAAAGCTTCAAAACTTGCATTTCCTTAACTTTTTCCTATAAAACTTCGAATTCAAAATGTGTCTTACCTTATCCTTTCCAGAACTGGATGTGACACCGCCGCAGTTTTGACAATTAAACTCCTACACCTCTGTTGTAAAGCTTTCAATTCTTCTTCTGCTGAAGATAGCTTCTCCCTCATCATCAACCTAGCTTTGGAGTCCGGGCTCAGACCAACTTCCAACTGCCTAACCAGTCTTTTAATGGCAGCTAAACGTCCTTGTCGTTCTCCGATTTCATGCTCAGATCCTTCGTCCGAAATGCCACTGTCAGAGAACGAGCCTTCGGTGAAGAACTCAGGTAAAGGATATCCCTGAAACAAAACATGCAAATGAATTATTAATGTGTAAAATGGTATTCATGCGATATTATTTGGGAGTTGCGGTGAAATGATACAAAGTAGAAATGCAGATGATGATGATGAGCCAAGACGGGTATTAGCTTCCGGTTAACCGCTACGGTCCAGTATACGACTAAAGTAATGTCGGCCACCATTTCCGGCATCGTTAATCGGAGACCGGACTTTGGTTTTCGAGTCACGTGCCTTCGAATGTTCTCCGGAATCAGCGTAAAAATACAAATTTAATATCGCATAGTAGAGGCTCTCTGTGGCCCCCGGGCTGCTCCGAGAAGCATAGTCAGATTATTACCAGCTATTTTCGCCCCAAACCCGGTGGAAAACTAATATTTATGTACTCCCGGTAAAGCCCCCGGGATAACTTTCTCGATATGTAGGTCGGAGGACAACGATGAATAAAATAAAAACATACCCCCATTTTGAGACATTGGTGCGTGGCTAAGGGATTTCGTTTAGATAATTGTTTTATATTGCGTATCCGCTTACCGGAAGGTGCTTAGCCATATTTTTATACGCTAATCATCAATAACTGCATCATGTTTATTTTGAGTCGTTAATACTTGGCAGTAAACTGCTGGCGTTTTTGCCATTAAATCGTCAATTATTTGCAATCAACTCTGTATACCGACTAGCGGCAACATAGCATTTCAGAAACGGGATGAAGTGTTCCGACGCCGAAGCCACGGTAATGAAAAGCGTCGTGGCGCATACTAAACAGCCCGGTGCCTGATTGGCAAAAGCTTCAGCTACCCGTCTAGCTGGTCTTGCTTCCTCCTTCTACACGGCGTTCACAATAAAAATTTTGCGCCTATCTTTCCTAACGTGTCACGTAAAGTGTAACTTTATTTCCAGGTACATTACAAGCCAACTATTTTTTGGTTAAACATGGGAAACCTCTCAATTAAGGCAAAATTTAAAGAACATAATTAAGACAAATTTAAATAAATTAATAGTTTTATTAGATTCGTATAGTTTTATTGATGGGAACCGGATCTAGATGGAAAGGAAGACGGCGTTAGCTAGTATTTCCATTGCTTACGTTTTGCGCTAATAATCCGGAATTGTTAGGGCAAATAATGATTATTTGCTGTACCTATTGACAGTTATCTTTTAAAAGCATGTGACAGATTATACAAGCAAACACGCGAACACATAAAAGTTCAGTCTAAAAAAAACCGTCACAATGAAAAACTAGCTAAAGTTCTACATCACTGTCACACTTTGAGCTCAGTATATTCAGGATGGAACAACTATTTTATATTTCTTCTGTGGTTGGTTTCTTGATTAATTTTTAAATTATCTTATATTAGGGTATGTACAAGGTGATCCGTAATGAATACACTATAGTGTAACTGCAGATTTTACTTAGCAGTCGATCGAACATGCCTGGTTAAAGTATTTCAATTGAAAATGAATTTCTACAATTTTAATTGAAATCAATAAGTTGGGACAGTGAGTTTTTAGTACTGGGAAATTCGAATTTAAACTTAGTTTTAAGTATCTGTTAGAGTGCGCTGTGCAGACTGTTGGTTACCCATCCTCAAAACTTTTTAATAGAAAAACATCTAGCGATTTTGAAAAACGCATTTGCAACACTGATTGTTTTTAAGGTAAAATGGTATACCTGTTTGTTATGTATCGAACATTGCGAATATTTTAAAGAAAATTTACCCATTTAAGCAAACAATTGAACTTGATTTATTGCACAGGTTAAGAGTACATACGATTTTTGGAAAACGGTGTCCCAGACTTGATAGATGATATTCCACGATTCTTGGCCAGCTCGTACCCCTAATCTTAATCCTTTAGATTTTTAATTTGATGGTAACTTAACAAATATATTTTATGAAAAAGAAAGTGAATCGCGCCGAGACCTTCTATAAAAAAAACTTACGCTGTAGCAGTAGACCCATTGGTACCATAAGAAACCAACAAAGTATTTAATTTCGAAAAACACAATATTTAAATAAAGGGATAAGAAAATGTATTAAGGTAAATGGTGGATATTTTACTGGTACTTGGTACTGATTAAATTGGAGTTGCCATAAAGTTGATGGATGAATTCATCGGCAATATTTTGAAAACGTGTTATTTTATCGATGACAAACAGGAATATCTCTTTAACTTACAAATAACCAGTCTAGAAAATGCGTATATTTCCATTATAAAGTTTCGATAAAGAATAACCAAACATTATAGCGTCCTCTAGCAGGTACCGTAAACCTAAATTTAGATTCGAATTTCGTACCACCAAAACCCAATCCAACTTTTTCAAATATCTCAATTAAAATTGTAGAAATTATATATTAATTTGAAATTGATATAGGAACTTTAACACCCTGTATTGTCGTAATGAAGTAATATTTTACTAAGGCATCTTTGGCTAAATATCCTTACTTTGACATCTAGAATCTGCAGTTACATACCATCATGTATAGTTGTTCAATATTTCTTAGTTGTACATTATTTTTTCCGAAATGATATCGACAATCTCAATCATCTGAGATGATTCTTCCAATATCGATGTTTCTTGTTAGTCACTTTCATCTTCTGTGTTGAGGTTTCCAAAAATTTGTTTTTTCGACTGAATTATGGCGATGAAAATTTTATTCTCTTTTAGATTATTAATTATATTATTTGTATGTTTCAATGTCCTTTCAATACTGAAGTTTCAGCTTTACATAACTATAAGCAAGTCGATGAAGTCTGCTTCAATTTGAACAGTGTCTGTTTATATTAATAAAGGAAGGTTTTTCAATTTTTTCTGATGTCGATTTTAGCTTGAAATCAATGTAAACGTCAATTTTTTTGTACGGCTGTCCTCATATTATTTATTCAGGGCTGTCCTCATATTAATTTATTTATTATCATTATTTATTCCGTTATAAATCGGTTTTAAAAAAATCAAAAAGTAAAACTTGCTTTCAAGGCATCAGTTAGTAGGCTTTACCCCGGCTCTGTTATATAGTTGGTTTTAACTAAATATGTATTTTTTACGACATTCCATATTGGGATTTTAGATAAGGATAAAAAGTCAGATCATCAGGATCGATCCATTTAGGAAATAGAAAATTTTTAGGCCCCTTAAAATTACGTTGGTCTTAAACGCTAAACGTTATTCTGATTATGCGCAGTGTTAAAATAAAAGGTCTTGTTGGCAAATAACGTTAAGTGCGTTTTTTAGTTTTTGACACCGCGTTTGTCGCTCTCTTAATAAAATAAACCTCACTTTATTGTCTTCTTATCCCGTTTTGTTTGGAAATGTTTCAAAGCTAGTTTAAGTTTGTATTGTTATTAAACACAAATTGGCTAAGATGGAAGAAAACATTGAAGCTGCCTTTCTGCGCCGGAATGACCAGGGAGATGTGGACCACGGTTTAATAAGAGGCTTAATTTTACACGGCATCTTGGACCCACCTGTTGTTACAAACCGAATAGCTATTTTGAAGTTAGAAAATATTGAGGCCAGAGATTGCCTTATCAATTTTAGGTTTCAGAAGGAACACATTCCGCGGCTGGTTCAAGTCTCCGAATACCAGAAAAAAAACGCATTCTTTTTCCTAACCACATCCATTTCACTATTGGTAAACGGAACGAAAAACGGAAAATAAAAATTAAAAATCGAATAGTTAGGTTATGAAATAGAAGTTAGACCCTGTCCATGCGATGTTAGTAGTGTTGCCAAAGTTCAAATTTGCCCAAATAATTTTCACATTAAATCCGTAATTACGCAATAATGGCGTAAATTAGTCAATAAAGAAGTCTTATTTAAATTTACAATACATTTCTTATTCTATTATAGCCGCTTATTTTATTAATAATATTAGAAATACGTCAAATATGTCAACAACGTCGTTCTGCTTTTTAACGTGATGCTTATTAACGTTACCGCTACTCGTACGTAAATAAAGGAACAAGTTATCTAATATCTAATAACGTAAACGGTTATTTCTTGACTATTGCGCATGCTCAGAATAACGGATAACGTAAAACGTGTTGCAATTAAGGGGCCTAAAAACTCCCTAATGTTTCCAATCAATACGGTAACGACTTAAAGACTTAGAAGGTATGCAAGGTTTGCAAAACAAAGCGACAATTGCATGATTTATTAGCTTCTATTAGTACAAAATCTAAAATATATTAAAGTGTAAAAATCGTTAATAAGACTTCCAAAGGAATATTTACAACAGGTTATTTTAAATGAGTTCTGGTAAGGTTTTACATTCTTTAGCCCTCGCTGAAAAAAATATAATTAGATTTATAGAGATTTATCGGTTCCCGGTTTCTATTTTAATTAAATACTAGGGAAAGCGTCTTTTAGGTGTGACAATTTTGATAAACCGATGTCCAACATAAACGCCATAAGCACGACTCATACGTATCAGATTAGATGATTAAAAACAACGTCGTAGAAAATTAGCGCCACTTTTAGTTTTTACCTGATAAGATGTAGACTCAGACAACACTTTCGCAACATCCCTAACGCAGGTTGCAGTTTGGTCCGTGAATTGTCCATTGGAGAGCACGTTATCCAGAATGTGGATGGTTTTTCCGTCTTCTTTCAAATCTTTTTGCAGCTGCTCCAAACGGCTCTCCAGCATCTTCCATACGGGAAGCAGGTTTTCGATCTCACTCAATTTTGTTGCAGTTCTGAAACAAATATTGGAATTTTTATTGTTTGAGGAATTGAAGACGCAAATCGTCGTTGAATTAGAAAAGGTGATTGTTAAATTTCCGTCTAACTTATTCATGGGTACTTTCGCATTAGAGAAAGCTATATTTAACAAAGGAAATATCGCCAATACCATATTTATTTACAGCTTGGTTCCATGAACAAGCCCTCCATCTTGAATACTAATGGCCGTTTACGTATCGTACCTACATATCACGCCCGTACTATCTGGCCAACGTACTTTGAATGGCTTACTTTACCAAACACGTTCGAACACGTGAGAGAACTTAATTGACGGCCTCGTAGGAAAATCATTCCAAAATGCCGTTAGCTTCATTCATACAATTCGTTTTTCGCATGTCAAACTAATGTGACGGTTTCAAATTCAATAAACGCACAATAAATATATTCTACATTTTACCAATCTAGTGAATAAATGTTTTCCCTTTTTAAACCTGCTTTACAATTAAAATTACTTTTCAACATTCACTTGAAACTAGTAACGCTTGAGAGGAGGAAGTCGGAAAATTTGGAAGACATAAATCAGGTAAACTCATGGGACAGTTTAATAGAAGTAGATATAAGCAGCATAAGTATTTAAAATTGGATAGCATCCAAAAAAACTAGCAAGGTATGCACGGACAGAATGAGAGCACTTCTAAGTACTGCTGTTTCATCATTAAACAAATAAATATCCAAAACACCTGGACAGCGATGTAAATACAGCACAATGTTCAGACCAGATATGATATTGGAAAACAGAAATTCAGCTAGTCGAGAATTCCTTGTGATCATAGTGAAATTACGAAGATATTTACAGTCTATTCTAAAAAGAAATTGAACCCCAACATTGTGTTAAATGACATTATGTTGGATTAAGAAAATTAAATTTGAAAAAGATGAATTAAAAACTCAGTTTACTAAAAAGATGTAGCTCAAGAAACTGCGGAATAATGTGGGCACGAAATTGAGATTTATCAGATTCTGCTCGCAAAACATTCATTAAATTGGTAGCTACCGCTGAATTGGATCAAATCCAGTTTCAACTAAAATAAATTTTAAAAAAATTCTCTAATAATCATCATGTAAGTTTTCCTGACTGTATTTCGAATTTTAATATAAACAATATTCCTGAGTTTCAGTCATTTATTTGAATATTACAATTAAGTCAATTTTCTTTAAAAAGTTTTGGTGTGCTTGGGTGCTTGCCAAAAATTGTGGGCTTTATCGTTTTTTTTTATATATAAAAATGGTTATTTTATTTATTGGTAAAGCCTGTCATTACTAATTAATACAACACAAAAAACATGCTAACATTATTAAGATTAAAGGCAAGGGATCAGGACCCTAAAATTTGGAAAATGAACAGAATTCCACATTTTAGGATGTTAAATTATTATATTACTTACTCGTGTGGACAGTTGTTGCTATGTATATTAATGCTTGTCAATTTCAGAACAAAAAAACGAAAAAACTGTTTATTGTATAATTAATTCTTTTTTCCTTTGCATTCATTCATGTATGGTCCTGATTCCTATCGTATACGTATGGACAAAATATTTTAACAATATTGTTTTAGACACACTGATGATGGTGGAAAACACCGAAACGTTAATGAGAAAGTTTACTAAATCGTAATATATAAATAAATGACTGAAACCCAGGAATATTGTTTATATTTAAATTTCTCTAATAAGACAACGCAGAAACGTCGAAGAACAAGGAACATGAAGGCGACATTGTGTGCATCTTAAAACAGTCCACCAACTACTACCAAGAGAGGGATATTTCCTTTTAATATTTAATTTTGTATTCAGGAAAAATGTTCCATGCGGTTAAAAATATGACTTTCACAAGAATTTAATAAACATTTTTCTCAATCATTCGGTCGAGTATTGGAAGAGATAGCTATAGTTTGGGGATAAATATGCAATGTTACTTTTTCCTTCAAAAACCAACTAGCACTTCGCATTTCTATATAAGATCAATAGGTTACGATTTCTACACTTTTTTTCAAATAAAATTAAGCTAATAAAGTACAAATTGGGGCACAAAAATTCTCAATTGCTCTCAAATTTCAAAATCCGCTTTGACGTTCGCTGTATTGAGCGTAATGTGTGAGAAAACAAAGTTTAACGAAATTTCCAAACTAAAAATATGGTAGTTCTGTTTTATGTAAATAAGCTACAGACAGACATATACACAGAGCTATAAAACAATTTAACAATTAGTATTCTACGAGGCCATCTTTCCATTACTCCCGACTGTATGACGGCAGCTGCACCCAAAAGTAACGTGTTTAGACTTTTAAACCACCTCAAATCTATTTTACAATATAATTTTACGTAATGTTTATTTCAAATGTAGCCACGATGAAAATAAATTCAGTTGTAGTGTACATTAATAAAATCCATTCCTATTATTCTTTTCACATAGTAATGTGCTGCGGCGTTTTTATAGTTCTTCAGTTTTTTATGTCAATTTAATGACAATGGGCTTTTAGGTTTTTTACCGTTTAGCTTTTAAGCGTTTAAGTTGGGAGAGTAGTTGAATTAACCTACAGGACAAATTAGTAAATTGTTTAAAAAGTTACAAAAAACACTAACTTCATACTAGTTAGTCTAACCTTTGCAGAAATGTTTTGGAAAAATGTACCAAATGTTTAGAAATCTAATTTACCTCGTTCTAGCGTTGTCAAAGAGCTCATATAGTTCCGAAACCTCTGCTTTTAGGGTGCATTTGCTGAAATCATCAAAATCTTGATTCTCTAAAGTGAACCTATGCACTACTGCATTCAGCGACGCTAATTTGGCAGACTGGGTTTTTATCACATCCAAAAGATTCTGAAATAAACATAAAATAATGTTAACCATACATTATACACTTGACTTAAATAGCTTGAGAACATATCAAAGCTCCAAGTATTCAAAATCTTCAATCTAGTATTCAGTTTTTAATAATTCGTAAGGATCAGGGCGCAATATTGCAATCCTACATTTTTTCTGTTAGTGATGTGGATTGCTCGATCATTTTTCGAGGAATGACAACAGCATAGTTAGCTTTTGCAACCTTGTTTTTTCAAAGCTAGTAAGGTTTTTAAAAGCGTTCGTTAATCAATGACAATTAACTTTGAGACCATCGGATATGTTCAATATGTTATCCTGTACAAGCAAACATCAACATTTAGAGGGCCTAACTTGATCGAGAGCCCGCTCATAAAGCTTAGTAATTTATAAACATGCGGCAATATAAGTCTGCAGTATCGCGATGACCGTCTTCCCTGCTGCCACTTTTTGAGCCGGAACGGTCCTTAGGGACTCGCTCTACACTGACCAAACGATCAATGCAACTTCTCTCGTCAACATGTCTAGGAATATTTTAAGTCCGTTTGCATTTTTTAGTAGGGCCAGTCCACCATCAATTCTCAAATTGCTTTCGTCTCGCATATATACGGTGACTTAACGATCCAGTAAAACAACAATTGTGTGTAAATGTAACGTATAAATGTTATCGAGCTAAAAAAAATTTTTAATTGGTTTGTTTTTATACAGGGAGAAACCAGGAGTTGCTTTTTTACCTAAAATTGCGATATATTTGCATGTGATTGTTAGGCTTTATTATCGGGTTTTTTACCTCAACATGAAAATAAACTCTCATCAGTAATGTTCATGCACTTGCGGAATTACTCCCGACAATAATACAGATTATTATTTAATTTAATTGTCATAATTAAGTACTGATAATTTGGCAAACCTCTAGATGATATTATGAAAATGCACCGAAAGTTCGTATCTCTCCATTTTGAGTTACTCCCCTTCCTCTAATATAGTCAAAGGCATATAAAAGAGCTTTAAAGAACTCTACCATCAAATCCCAGACAGTTCATTCGTTGTTGATTGCAAATCGAATTAAACCAGTGTGCATGCATGCCTTCGCATCCCGCAGGAATAACAATTGGGCCCAAAAACTGCATTTGCAAACATCGCACTACACATTGGGGAGTAGTTTTCTATATGATTGAAATAAGCAAAAAGGCTTTTAACTTTTGTTGTCAACCGCAATTAATTGAATATCAACTGTTAAAGCAGTTTCGAAATTACCGGCCAATTAGTGACAACAAATTTTGCTAAAATATTTGAGAAATGCCTTAAGGAAAGATTAACTATTTTTCTTTCCATTAACAACACTTTGTCCCAAAACCAATTTGGATTTTTCAGTGGTATTAGTGTCTCTGATGTCATATTTAATGTAATAAGAACCATTGCTAAACGTATTGATAAAGGTAAAAATGTATTGCTGCTTTCCTTGACCTCGCGAAGGCCTTTGATACCGTGCCTCATGACTTGACAACATTCTTTTTGATGTCTCAGAAGTCTATGGGGTCAGGGGCGCTGTGATGAGGGTCTAGCTAAAAACGGCAAATCGTTCCAATTTTAATACCATAAAAATAAATGAAATTGAAAACCAAATAAAAAAGGTATCTACTAAGTATTTAGGGGTTATCGTTGACCAACATCTAAAGTGGAAACAGCATATTTCTAGATTGACTAATAATCTTAGGAAATTAATTCGAAAATTGTATATGATTAGGGAAATTTTAAATGGACATCTTTTAATTTGCGTATACAAAGCCACAGTAGAGTCCTTACTTAGATATGGGGAAGTTCATATGAAAATGTTCTAAAGCCCTTGACAACTATTAAAAACTATATTCTTAAAATTGTTAGAAGTTGGCTTGTTTCCAACAAGCCAACTTTACAATAGAAAAATTCTTGCTACAAGATCTTTGTTTGTCTTGAGTTTGTGCTCTCATGTACATCAGAATCGCACAATGGATTTACACGAATTTATTGATCACTCGTACCCCACCAGGCCTAATGTTGGAAAAAACTTAACAAATCCAAATAGTAGTAGGAATATAAATCTTAGATCTGTGAACTATCTTGTGTTAAAATATTCAACATTCTACCGGTGGCAGTGAGAGTAACTGAAAATAAGCGGGTTTATCATCAGAAATGTATAAATTTTATGCTCACTAATTTTGAGAGTTTTGCCGTCCTATTCCGAGTGTCTGTAAGGCAATAAATAAAAAAAGTGTCACTCAACAGAAAAATTTCCTTATAATTGATTAACATTAAATAATCAGAAACTCTAGTGTTACATACAGAAATTTGGATTTCCAGCTACCTATTTGAATGTGTAAGAATTGTTTTAATATAGGAATGTAAAACAGTCTGTAAAAACATTTATTGTATTATATTGAGTATTGAGTTCTAGTATATTTGCAACAACGGTCGCACCAATTGATTCTAGTAAACATATAATTGAATTTATGCAAATGCTTATCACTATGAAAAAGGCGATAAATGAAATAATAGAACAAGATATTTATTAAGTACATATTTATTCTGGAAAAAAAATTCTTTTTTTCTTAGAAGGTTATCAGGCTTTTTTGAAAAGTTCCTACAGGCTTTAATTTGGAAATACAAAAAACATAGTTTCTCTCTTTTTGCAATTATTTTGGAACGAATATACGAAAGATAGATTAAGAGGGTTTTACGCCGAGTGCGGTATTCTTCGGATTGGTTGCCGAAAACCCCCTGCAACAAACGCAGCTCAAAATTTCCGCCAACATGGCTTCCAACAGCTGTTTTTGTACCGATAAAGACGGAGTATAAAGACCGAGAAACCAAGGAAGACGTGTGGTTTAATTGCATACAGTGAGCAACTGCCTAAAGCAAGTTTGAACTGCAATTTTCAGGGATACCTAGATAGTATGGTCTCATATTGCAGGTTCTTCTCATTGAGGATTTCTAAGAAAATTTTATTTTGTCGAGTTGTGGGTAAAGTCGAAACTTGCCGAGTGATTGAAATTAAACTGTATAAAAGTTGAAATGTACGTCTGAAACGTATGGCTAGCTATATTCGCGACCATTCGAAGCAGCAGAGTGGATCCAGAGCTGCGTAGGGGGATTCGGGGGGTAAAAGCAGAGTTGTGTCGAGCGCTGGCATCGCACGCCAGCACGTGACGGGACTCCAAATTAGGAACACGTCCGAGTCCTAATCTTTACCACGCCGCACTGCCACTGCCGACATACAAATGCTGTTCGCGTATTTTCAGGACCGTACTTTCAGCACCCTTGGACTTTGAGAAAAAATCAATCTTTCAAGGGCAAATCGCACACAAAGAACAAACATCTGTCCAACCGCCGACAAAAACTCATATCATGCATTCGAGTTTCCGCTTGAGATCTCTGGCCGTTGAGGAATACTTCCAATTTGTAGTGAACAGCAATATCAGGAAACACACAACACCTTATACCCCAGAATAATCCCGCGAGTATTAAAAGAGCCTCAGTAACATCATGATGAAAAGTCCTTTATAACTAATCAGTTAAGGAAAAAATTAATATTCATTATCTGGATTATCTAATATTCAGGGTGTCAATTTGAAAACTTCCCACCCTTAATATCTTTCTTGCAGTTAAAAATATGAAAAATCGGAGACCCGTCAATTTTATTTGTAAGGGGGACACTTTAAATGAATATTTGGAGCCTCCTTGTCATATATGATCGGCTTAATTTTCAAAGTTTGATTTGCAAAGATTCACAGCTGAACTTGTATAAAAGTCCAAATCAAAATCAATTCCTGGGCTTCAGTCATTTATTGTCTATTTATCAATTAAAATACGTTTCACAATAAATTAATAATTAAATTAATTTTACAATTAAAAAAAATATATATATGCCAAGGCTTATAGTAGTAGCAACAACGCTACACATAGAAACTGATGATGGTAGAAAACACCGAAACGTATTTTAATTGATAAATAGACAATAAATGACTGAAGCCCAGGAATTGATTTTGATTTGGAATTGAAACACAGTCAGGAAAGTATGTACAACTTGTATGAAATAGAAGCTAAAGCTTATAGCACATTTATCGACAGATACTTTATCTGCAGATGATACAAACGTTTATGAAACGCTTTTGCTTGTTTTCATCGGTTAGGCTGTGAAGAGTTGGCTTTTGAGTTGATGCCGCTCCGTGCGCTAATGAATTATAACTCATCGCGTCTCATTGCGCCGCACTGTGAATTACGGTTAGCAGTTAACCCAGGGGCGGATTAAAGCTGTACGAGCCCCGGAACCTCAATTTTAACAAACAAAAATGGGTCACCACATTCTTTATGAGTAAAGATTTATCAAGTAGGTGACTACAACGCAACTGCACCGTGGAGTTACTTCGCCGGTGCGTTACGTCTTAAAGAAATCAGTCAGCTTAGTTATAGTGTGAATTTGGTTGCGATTGAGCTCCTGGTTACTTCGCAAGAAAATTCCAAACTTCAAATAAAATGCGAAATTTGAATATGATACACAAGATTAAGCCACAATGTTATGCATTATTCTCATGCACATTTCGCTCATTTCATCAGATTGAGCTGGAGCACTGAATAGAGCACTAAATGCTAGCAGATGAAGCAATAAGCCAGAGGAAATTGAAAAAAATATAATATAATATAAATATAATAAATAATTAAATATAATAATAAGAGCGAAGATGATCATAACTAAAAGATAAAACAATCAAGATCGAATGTAAATTTTCAGAACTTCTAAAGGATATTTTTAATTGGTTCAAATTTCGTTCAATTCTGTCATAGCTCGGAAGTTGAGCAACAGTTTCATTTTTAAATGATTTCTTCACGGTTTTTTTAGTCAATATTTTTGGAAAAATAAAATTAATTGGGTTATTAATTTTAGTTTTGGCGTTGTGCATCACTGCAGCGGAATTAAATTCAAACAAATATAGATGGCTCTAAATTTAAAACTAAACTAATGAAAGATTTGCGTTTGGAGCGTTTTTCGTTGAGTTTCGTATTGACTTTCGGTAACTCGGAACGTGGAATTTGTGTTTGGAAACATTGCCATGTGAACAGACACTTTCTACAAAAATCTCAACAATAAACAAAGTGAAATCGAACTGCCAAGATAAGCAATGAATCATCGAAAGGGCGAACATGCACATGATTATATAACGATCTTTATTCTGTAGTTTTTTGCGAAAAGGTGTATGAATGTAGTTTGCTACCAACCGTGGACGAATTTGGGCGATAGATTTATGTGTCGTGTGAATCGCTTCCTTAGACGAGAAATATAGAATCATTGTTGCCCTTATCCTACCTGCTAACTGCAGGGTTAAAGTCTTCTATTCGAAGCGAATTTTCGTTGTGTATAGTGTGAAAGTGTAGTGAACTTTTTGAGAATTAAATGATAGAAAATGGAGAATGGGCCAGTTTGCAAAAAACTGGTAATAATGATCTATAATCTATAAAGGTTGAACTGAGTATAGTTTTCCGACCATCAACCGCAGCTTTATGGATTTTTTCTATTTCTCCCTCTTTGCTTTTCTGATTTCAAATAAGTTTGGCTTTGGTCAGATTTCCTGCTTGTACTAAACACATTTTCTTGTTTCTTTCCAGGTGGCAGTATGCAGCTTTCGGTAAGTTAGCATTACTTTGCCCCTGGTTGTCATGTACATGTAGAACTTTTAGTACCATGTTCAGCAACTTGTAGGGAGGATTTGGTATCGATTGAGCTATTTGTTCCTTTGTACTTAATTTCTAAACTTTGGGAATATTTTGGGCGGCTTTGTGTTTTTACATCAAACTCTTTCTGAAGCTTTTCCCTAAAGAATCGTTTCAGCGATGCAAGGTTCCAGTTGAATATTTTTTTGGCAAAAAAGGTCAAAAGTAAGAGTTTCGCCAGAATTTTTGAAGGTTTGAAGAAATGTTAATGACATTTAGAGCGCATTGTTCTTTACTGAACGAACAACTCTGAACTTGTAGATCAGTTTGCGATTCTGATTTTTTTTTTCGAAAAGCGTGATGCTAAATGTGTCCCATTTTTTCAAATCCTGCGCAAAATTTTCCTAACTATGAGTAAAGTTTTTTGACAGTATTTAGAGCGCACTCTTCTTTACCGAACGCACAACTCTGAATTTGCATAGGAGTATTTTTCGTTTCTGAAGTTTTATTTATAACTCATCGCGTCTCACTGTACCACACTTTGAAGTTCGTTAAACACTGAGGGCCGGATTAAACCTTTACGAGGCCCGGGGCTGGAATTTTAACACCTAACCAAAAAAAAGTCACACACTTTTAGAAGGAAAGTTTTATCAAATGGCAATTGTCTAATGCTGGTTCTTAACTTTAGGTTTTAAATTTCTAATTTTTTTGAGCAAACTTAATTGTAGTAATTTAAATTTCTTCTTAAAATTAGTATTATTTGATTCGCTAAAGTCACACTTTAAAACCAGTTCTACTTAACTTCAAAATATAATAAATTTAATTAACTAAAGCTACTTTAGCAACTCCCTCAGACATTAATGTTCAATAGCTCCTCAACCTACTGAGTACTCTGAAGATACGTTTTAATGAAAATTTTGCAAGTTGTACAAGCAAAACCAAGCGAAAATGTTTTAAATTGCAACTGCAAAGAAACCCAGCATTTCGATAATACTGCTTAATGAATCTAGATTCTGTTTAATTCTTAGGTAACATTCCTCACCATTTTGTGTAGTCATGCATCCTAATTGTGTTGTCAAAATAAAAATAATTTCAGACGTGATTTTTGCACCGGTCAGTGCAATAATTTAAGACATTTCTGGTGATATTGTATAAGTGTATATATAGTATAAGCATAAATGGAACCTTGTTGTTTTAAGCAGAAATAGATCAATCTAGTTAGCATGGACAATATTTAAATTTAACTCGAGAATTGATGTAAATGAAGATGAACCAATCCGTTTTAAATACGGTTCATCCAAATAAACACAGAACATCAGTTAGATCATTTCTAAAGTATTTGCATTCGCCTACACACATCTGTTTATCAAATCATAGCCTAAAAGTGTAACAGGACATATCGTCTATACTATGAATCATTACAATGAAAATGTTGACATTATCGAACGTCTGCCCTTCTCACATATTAGTCGATTTTACTTGCTCGAAACACAGCTTTCACTGACCTTTGGCCTGACCTTAAACAATTAAAAATCAGAACTAACTCTATCTGCAGCACTCTACCCGAAATATATATAGCTTAAAAACATTAAATTTCGTAATATCTCCCTCATGTATGCAATCAAAAATCCGAACGATTCACTTAATTTGTGTTCTATTCACGTACACGAATCGATATTGATCAGAATTTGGGTTTTCCGCTTTTCACGTCCCAGTTATAAGGAATTTTATTTTACCACTTAACATCCCTAAAACCCTGACAATGACGGGAGAAGTAACTAGATAATGGAAAATCGAATAAGGTAAAAAAATCATATAACACAAGTATGTTGGTTTTCCAACCAACTTTAGTTCAGTTTATCCTTTATCTTCTGAATAAATATAGAATTCTTTTCCATGTTATTTGCTTATAGCCCCACTTATCAGCCTATTAATAAAATGTTCTAAAAATATTGTTTATGCAGCATAATTGAGATATTTTAAAATAGTGAAAAAACTTTCGGTGCATTCGCCAAATTAATGTCTAGATGTTGAATTGCAGTAATGCTATCAATTCAATAGCCATGCAATAATGATAAAGTTTTACATGAAAGTTCTTTAAAAGCGATCTAAACTTCAATTTAAATAAATGTTACAAGAAGATTTGATTTTGAACAAAGAAATAAAAGGGTACTTACATTGCAGGATTCAATTTCATTATTTATATCCTGTGAAGGATTGTCACCAACTTGAAACTGGCTGGTATTATCAGGTACTTCTAGTTTAGTAATAAAATTCTTGAGCTCGGTTATTTCCTTCTGTAGTCTTCTGTATTCCTGCATCTTCAAACTTCGTATTTTCAACGCCTTCCACTGACTCAACAAACCTATAACAAAGTAAGAACATTTGCAGTTATCTGTATGATCAATTTAGCGCAGAAAATCAAACTGTTTATTGCAATGTTACCTCTTGAAGATGTAATGCAATAGCTGCATTCACTAAACCCAAGCTAACTGCTAACTGGTTGGCAATAATAAGCGAGAAACATGTCTAAAAACTCGTTTTACAAGCAATCATGAAGTCATCAAATGGTGTTTTCTAAATACAATTAATTTTATCAAGTTGAGTTACTCGATCATGGAGACAATGCAAATTTTGCTACATATCTGCGTTATCAAATATAGTCACTGACAACACCAAACATGCCGAAATTCAACACAGGTCACATACAAACTACTTTCTTCGACAAAAACCAGTTGGCAATCTCAACTCTGGTTCGAAAGTGAAAATTATGGCGATCGTTAAAAAGAGATGAAATCTGCATGTAAATATTCTTGTAACCCACACATATATGGCGATGTAGGATGCAACAAGGTGAACATCAACTGGAGTAGGCGATGCGAAGGCTAATCGGTCGTTTTAAGATGGTTCTAATTTATGTGAATGCTAATTTTCTTTCGATTGGTGTTAATGTAAAAACTATTGTCACTGAAATTAATGTACTTCTGATCATTTATTTATTCATTCCCTTTACAACATAAAATATGACAATTAGATCGTAACATCAACACTTTGCACACTTCTCAGGAAGCACCACAATACGTGTTTTGAACCGCAATATATAATCATACTTACCGGTCTGAACTGATGTTTCTAATAGTAATGGTCTGTTGTGGCTCGAAAACTATTCATAGCGAAATTTTTAAACTGCTAGAACTTTAAATATCACATTAGGGCTACCACGCTTAAAATAGGCTATCGTGCTTTACTGTGGCGTCTAATGATTATACAAACGGTTAAACTTCCGTCTTCAATTATATATTTAGGCGAGTACATGTTAGGGATCTGACCATATCTGCGGTAATTACAGTTAGTTGCACGCCATCGTTGCACTGTAACTAGCTCATATCCACTGCCTGTAGTAGGCATGAATTCACTAGAATTAATTAACTTTACTAACTAGCTTAGTTTTCTTTTAATAGCAGCACTGCAGCGCAAATAATAAGTTTTACTGCCTTTATTTTAGATTAACAGTACTTTGAGTCATATAAAATTCTACTTACAAATATACATACCTTAACTCACATTTTCACAAAAAATCGGTATATACAATCCAAAACGGCCTTGCACACCTCCCAAAAATTAGTATTATTTTATGAATCCCCTATTTACCGTGCTTGTTCCAATTTTATTTCACTCAAGAATTTTGATTTGACGAATAAGATTTGAAGCAAAATACTGAACAACTGTCTTTTTCACAGATAGAATAAATACGTATTTACACAAACAAATTAAGTTTGTCGGGACATTCAATTATTTTTAGACCACTGCCAAATAATTATATTAATGATCAATAAATTGAAAAGTAAAAAATGGGTCCATTTCCAATAAGTTATTCATAATGGCCCCACAAATGCCGAATTTATTACGACAGTTGCTTCCTTACTAAACCCTTTGTCATTTCTTAACTTGTTTTCATACCGGTTTTACCAAAGCATTTTAGTATTTTTCGGGCTCTAAATATACCATACAAGCACTCAATGATCAATTTTATCGCTGTTTCGAACACATCATTTCTGGTTTGTATAAGAAGTATGTACACCATTCCATCAACAATGCCGTTTTGCTTATTCGCTTCAAAGTAAAACATCAATGACCAACCAACAACCATCAACATTGACGAGAAAATAAAAAGCACCAATTATATGAAACATCAGCCAATCTTTTACTCCATACTATGCTTTGATATATTTCAAATTTGATGAATTCATATCCTTGATACAACTTTAGATTAGGAACAACTACCACGTAGAATTCTGTAAAATGCATTGGGACCATGCGTACGTCACATAAATTTACAAAGATCTTAAAAATGAATTGCCCAATTAGTGTCTGTAGGAAAGTGATATAACCTATCAAGAGATAGGTAAGGGAGGTAAAAGACTAGAAACGTTTTCCACCAACACGGCAGTCATATCCGGGTAATTGAAGTTCCGTTTTGAACACACAACTTAAGAAATAAATTAGCACATAGATAACTTGCAGCGGTTTAATGGAAAACGAAATATAAAAGCAAAATATGAAGCGGAAAAACACATTTAATGCACATACCATGCTGTTATAAGCGAGAAATTAGCAATACAAAAATTTCACATTATAAATAGATATCATGCCCTAATTATATCAGAAATGAATTAAAATCACAAAAAATACAACTTAAAACATTTTTAGCCTACGAAGTTCAGTAAACTTTCGTGAGAAGTACATGATGATTTCTATAGCTTTCTTTAACAAAAAAGAGAGCAAAGAGGTCCAAGTACAGGAGTATAAAATAGGAAACCAACTCCTACCTGTCGTAACGGCTTTGTCTCCAGCTGACATCTTATATTCATCTGAAGAATCTGTGATGTGGCTGAGAAGTGCAATGTGACGGTCACAGTTTGACATCAACTCCTCCTAAAATTAAAAGAAAAGACGTATTAGAATCGCAAAATTTTAACTTAACATTGAGTCTCAGAAACCTAAATAGACCACTCAAATGTTAATATAACCATTTTGCTTTAAGTAAATCAGGCCTCGCATATAACAACGGTTAATCTGTTTCAGCTAGAAATAATACTTTAAGACTTGAATAGCAACAGCAAATCTATTTACTTCCAGGTAAAAAGAATACAAAATAAAGCAATTCATAAACACGGAGATCGATCTAGATGTTTCATCAATTTTTGAAACTAAAAACACTTTTATAAAACAGTTGTATTAGAAAAAATGAGAAGCAATTTGGTTCGCTATTATAACACATTAGTTCGATCTGTGTACTTATTATGTCCTTTATTATGTGTATTACGCTCAGCTGTAGTTTCTTCAACTCTTACATGAAGCTGAATTAATTTCTACCATAAAGATATAGTATTACGTATTATTCAAATAAGAAATTAAACACTGTTATAAATGCATCTATACTTCTACACATGTACTTAAAATGTGACTTGATCGAAATATATAATGCAGTACATTGAACAAAAACAATTAAAACTACTTACAACTTCGTTTGTAACATTGCTTATTCCATCCTTAACGTGGTCGAAAACATTCTGTGCATACTTTAGCTGATCTCGAGAATCGTTTATAAGCTGCTTCAAACTCTCCTCATCGCTGTTCGACTCTTCAGCAGCCTGTTCATGGGATAAAATTTTTCTTTTGAACTTTGGTGACATATCGGATAAAGCTGACCAATCTGACTGACTATCAATGAAATTTCTGTAGTCTTCGCCGAAATTAAGTAGTTTTCTTGCCGCGTCTGAATCATGTGATTCGCTGTATGGTTCAGATAAATAATTTTCCTGAAAGAGATAAACACAATAATTACTTCAAGTCTCTTGTATGTAAAATGGGTTCGCTATCTCATTAATGCCATATTAGATTTTAAACACACTCGAAATGGTCTTAGCGTTCAATCGTAAAAACGCATTAACGGAAAACTGAGTGAGTGGCTTTGGTACAGAGAACGACACTACAAAGCAACTCCGATAATTCACAACACTCGTGCGGTCGTTTTTATTAAGTCTGTTGTTTTTTTGATTCAACTTAACGATATATCTAATATCAAAAGTATATGTGAAGTCTATTGAGACAAAATCCATAGCAGTTAACAGTCTGCGGGTTATGTTTGTAATGCATTGTCGACGAGAGAACTACTGTATTCAGAAATAAGTCAAATAAGAGCTCGGAAAGCGTTGACTCAACATATATGACTTCCTCACCAGGGCACCCGCAGACGGGCGACTTTTGTAGTGCGACAGTTTTGACGCTGAAAATGGAACTCATTATTTTAAACACAGACGCGCACACGAGCGACTTTTTGTAGTCGCTACTAGCGTCTGCGGGCGACAGTCGCCAAGGATGGAACTTGAAACCAACTCAGAAACTTCTCAAGGTTAGACGCTGCGTCTAAAAATCGCTAGCGATTGTCGTCCTGCATCGAATTCACAGTACTGAACGGGATCAAGCAGACAGGCGATAAAATTGTGGTAGCGTCACATGAATTCAGAGTCAGATAACTGTTTAAAAAGGCCACCAGAACGTCATCATCGTTCTCCTATTGAAAGTTGAAAAGATTCTGAAAGACCGACCCGTTAAAAACTTATAGCAGCAGCCATCAATAGATATTTTATGATTTACTTTACTAACCGGTGCCGTAAATTGATCGCACCCCAATTTTTACCCTTATCTCAATAGACTTCATAGACTGTACATGTTATATTTACGGAGGATCAATTATCTAGAATAAATCTTGACTAATGGGACAAAGGGACGATAGATAATGGAAAATAAGGAAATACCAAGTACCATACAATCGAAGCTTAGCTAGATTTTGTTTGAACGCTATTGGTCATTTACTTACTCACTTAACACAAAGCTTGAGAATGCCGTTTAGAAAAACATTTATATCAATCTCCGTTTAATGCTTTATTATTCTAATTAATCAATTTTTGCTCAATGATTTGATTTAAAAAAAAGCATGAACATTAAGTGAAGTCAAAAATAAATTGTGGCGCGAGTACAATTGATTGATAATACCTAATGCTGCGTCCAATCCTGACGAGCCAAGCCTGAACCGCGGCAAATTTCCTTTGATGTCTGGTCGAAACACCCACAGACGATCCATTTTCTGTCCGTGTTTTGACGAAACATTAAAGAAATTTGCCGCGGTTCAGGCTCGGCTCGTTAGATCTGGACGCGGCATTAACTATATGGATTCAAATAACTTCAAATTAATTACCTGATAGTTATCCCACGCTTCCGACAATGAACTTGATTCTGTTGCATTTAGGCTGTTTTTTCCAGGGCTATCGTCTCTCATTTCTCCGCTGCACAGGTATCGTTGCCTTAATCCCACCTTGAAGTTGGGCACCCTAAATGATTAAATAAAAATTAGCACACAAAAAATTTAAATGCACAATACACACAAACCTTTTCCTCGAATCATCTTCGCTTTCAGCCCCGCTTGTCGTGGAAGCTTCGCACCCCGTGTAGTAAGAGTGGTTGACTGTTGACGGATCACTGGTTGAATGTTGTTCATGGCTTGATTTCTGTAAGCTGTATCCAGAGAATGATTCAGATTTGATCAAAAAATGTCTATGTTGTCTGGAAGTGCCTGGGCTGTATAGTAGGTGCGTATCTGATTTGCCGAACTGGAAAAAAATAAAACGGTTATTAAATTATCATATTTGAAAAATTGCAGGTAATATTTCCATTTCAAGAACTGCTAAGACTTACCAATGCCTTCTTCTTAAGTTTCGTCTTCTTCCTTCTCATGGGCGATGATTTTTCAGTAACCAAGGGAGATATTTCTTCAACTGTTGATGATGTGGAATTGTTGCCATTAACGTTAAAACTATTTGCGCTTAGAGCCGTGAATCTGTTCAAAGTTTTGGGGGTAAGACTTATTTTGTGCAGTGCTGATTCGGATATTGACAAGAAGTTGATTCTGAACAAGAAAAACAAATATTAATTACTTACCCCCTGATCAAACGTAATTTAAAAATCTTACCCTGCTGAGTTCGGCGTGGACGTATTTAACTGAGAACTGCAAGAGCCGCACCATGTGTGACTTAATTCAGGGTAAGATGTATTTTGTGAATTCTTCAGGGTCATCGTACTGGCATCAAATTCTTCTGAAGTCTGGGATTCTTTTTCATCTTCTTCTGCACTCGCATCGCAACTGTCGTCAGGCTTTTCCATGCTTAACCATTTGGTAACTCTTGACATTTTCAATGAATTACTTCGTTCTGTTTTCCTGCATTTTTCGGGACTCACTAATTCTTCAGCCTTCTGAACGAGCATTCGTAGTTCATCTTCTGATATCAGTTTAGCCTTCGGCACGATTTGATCATCAATCTCTTCCATCTTATTATTTCCGTTTAAACAAACCGTGTCCGTTGGTACGTCAGCGTGTTCCGTCTTAGTAAAAGTCCATTCTTCTTCAGATGTATCGTCCAATGTACTTGTTTGCCCGTCCGTTTTTGAAAGTGTGAAGTTTTCAATTCTATCCATGTCTGAGTCAGTGTCTTCGTGCTTAAAATAGTAGGTTGCTAAGTTCGGTGCTTTTTTGTTTGATTGGGTGAACTGTGAAGTATCCGCGCCTACCGGGATGGCGCCGTCTACAACATCAATTCCATTCACATCTGCCACGTCAATTGTATCGCTCATAACGATGTCAATCGACTCTACTGAACATTCATCGTCCTGAAATGAACAAAAATAGATTCATAATTTTGCAATTCATTAAATACCACATTAGTAAAACCAAATAAAGTTACCCGTTTGCTATCTAATATTAATCAACTCTGATATTTTAGATTTGTAAGGAAGTTTTCAAAATTGCAAAATACATAAATGTCCAACAATGGTAAACAAGACATTTTAACAAAGAATTTCAAAATAATTAGTTTTCAATGTTTTCACTGACCGTACAGATAATGAAAACATTTATCATATAAATTGGAATAAGTTGCACAATAATGTTGCTGGTTGTATGCATCGCTTAGGGCATAACAGACATTTTAAGTTATGCATTAAAATTAACTTTCCGGTTTAGTCCATGAAAATTAGCACTTTCTATCACACTGCATTGATGTAATAAATGGTAGAGTGCAGTCATTTTTAAATATCTAATTCGATATATTAAAGCGAAACTTTCCAAATATTTAGAAAAATTGTGCTGATTGATTCAACCAAAACTATGGCCACATCTTATTGCATAACAGTTGCCCAGCAGACAACTGATAACTCATGCCCATCAGATTTCCATTTTTTGCATGTATACACGTCGCTTCTTTGGAAGAGCAATGACCCAATAACGAATTAAGAAAATTATAATAATTTACGCATCTAGTAAAATGCTGCTGCGCGTCTTTTTTTAATCAGGCGTAAACTACTCAACTGAAAATACCAAAATTTGCACTTCAGTCATTGTCCTTCGGAAGAAGCGAAATACTACTAAATAAAAATCCATGTTAACAGACTCTATTAGCCAGAGCACTTAAAAAATATTTGGCTGTTGTAGTGAATTAAACTCAGCTGGAAACATTTGCCAAAAAAACTAATAATGAGAATGGTTACAAATCAAATATATTTAAAGCATGTGAGACAGGCTGACCACGAATTATTAGTCGATGATTAATGATCAACCGACTAGTTTAACAAAGGTAATCACAAATCAAGTCACTGGCTTCCTATTTTGCTCATGTACGATCATATCTACTTAAAATGTTAGTCATTTTAAATGGGCGTAGTAGTGTATAAGAAATGAGCTGCCTATTGAAGTGTAAAGTTGTAAATTTGATTTAGAGCCTTAGAGCGCTTTACGAGATAGAAATGTACTAACAAACCATTGTTATGATTAAAAATGCAACAGTTCAACACACATTAGTACTAGAGACAATGAAGTTGCATTATTTTTGCACGTGCCTTTAAATTAAGCAACGTGGAAACTGAATCGGAACACATCATGACCCTGCTTTGACAATACAATTAATTAATAAATGAGAATGATCAGATAAAAAATTGTATCAACTGTATTGCTAGCCGCCTAATTATCATTGTAGCATTGACAATTTTCCCACAAACCAGATTTCAATGAAGCGGTAGAAACAAGGAAAATTTAGGTATATTTCACAACTAAAACAAATAGTACCTAATTGATCTACTGCAATTTGAAAATATTGTAGATACATTATTTGTGAATAATGACTACTGTTGTAGCACTGGGATGATTAAAACTTCACACTTGTGTACTAATACCGGTCATTATTGACTCATTTAGTAATATAATATAATATCCATTTTCTCAAAGAACTGTAAGTTGACTTGCTTAATGTTATTCCAACCATTGTTGAAATCACAGCAAATAAGTGAAAGTGACAGTATTAAATTTAAAACTTTGTAAAGTTGTCCTTAATGATTTGCAGAAATTAAAGTATTGTTAATTTCCTATTTCAATGTGCATGTGATTAATGTGAAATTGTTATATGTTGGTATTTGAATGTTTCGGAAAAAAATTAATCACAAAAATATTTAAAAAAATTAAGTTTTCAATTGAAACTTAACTCACGTAAATCTCCTTCTGAAAATTGCATAATTTATTCAGACAGGTGAACATCATCAAAGTTAAAATTTTTGTGCAGTCCATGAATTAACTTCTCATTACTTCTCCATGGATACGTGAAAATTGTTAATTGTGAAATTGAATGTGACCAGAAGCAACATTTTTCATTTCACAATTTGATCGAGTTTAGCTTTTCGCTTAGGTATTAATATTTGATGCTTATTACTGATGAAGTTGGGGTGTCATAGTTTAGTAATAAAACACATATCACTAATCATAAATGACTATGCTTAACCGCTTTAAATAAACTTTCTTTTAATGCTGCTTAAACCGGTATAAAAAAAAGTTTTAATAACAATTTATGCTTATAGTGACAATTAAATGTCACTCAGCATCTAGTATAACATTATAGGATTAATTGCGTTCATACTTTTGACGCTTAATTCTGCTTACGTTGGGGACATACTCTATAAATAAGCACGTATCACTCTAGTCATCAATAACTTGCTCAACAGCTTTCAATAAATATTTCTTAACTGTTACATTTGCTCATGAAAATTGCCGTTTATTAACATTTTATATGGCAACTTATATGCATAGTGTCTTTTAAATTTGCTTTGCAGGATTAATTACGTCAATACTTTCGTCAATGATTACTGCTCAATTTTGGGGACATACCCTATAAATAACACAATTCGTAACCTTCAATGACTGTACAATTTTTAATAAAATTTCTTTTAAGGTTGCCTCCTTTGTGTCTACATCAAAATAGCCTTTTATTAACGGTTTATCTCGCAATATATATCGTCAGTGTCAATTAAATTGCAATTAACCTCTAGTAAAGCTTTGTAGGATTAATGGCGTCAAACGATAGCAGAACAATATCATATCTTATCGAATCATTTTGTTTGAAACGATGGGAGAATATGGATTAGTAATAAGTTTCTCCAAATGATTTTAAAGTAAATAATAATATTTACAACTTTATGACCAAGCATGTTCCAATGTACTGCGATTACCATCAAATGAAAATGATTGACACGTTTACAGGAAGACCAGTTTTTGCGGTCACATACAAGCTCATTTGAAGGATGATATCATTTTCTTCAGATACTGTAGCCTCACTTAAATATGTGTACAGTTAGGTGTTCCGCTGTTTCTTATGTTAGATGAGCACAGTGATAATTTTTTCCATATGCATCTCACGGCGGCTGTATTTAATTTGCTTTACTCTCGTTAAGCGTAAAATTATTCAATTAAGACACCGCGGGGTTTCTTATCAACACTTCTTACAATTCTATTTGCAGTTGCAAAAAGACGTGTTTTTACAAGAATAAAATTTGTTACTTGTTAATAAATCGCCAAATTTGTAGTTAAACGGAACATACGATCAATTTCATTATCTTATCATTTAATAATCTTTCGTTTATGCTTTTCATGCTAGCAGCTGCCAACATTATGTCGATGATCATGAACAAGGTAATCAAAATTTCCATTACTTCAAACATATTTTAGATCAATCTCTACTTCGCAATGGTGTATATTATTCCTCTTTAAAAAGTTTGGCTGAAACAAAACAACGCTAGAACCGAATACCCAAAAATGTATTTTTTTTACTCTACAGAAGTTTTCAAATATATTAACTAATCCAGCGCGTACTTCCATGTATCGGCCTTATTCAGCTGGAGAGATGCTTAGAGGGCACAAAACAGATAAGGCAAGATAAGAAATGAGAAAAAACATCTGGTGACATAAAATATACATTCGTATAGAAATTAAATACCGATGACAACCTAAATTAGGACTTTTTGAAATGGCCGGATATTTTGTTGTGAAGATTTTACTGTATGATTATTACGACTTTTGCCACATCTAAATCCAGTCAAATTTTTCTGATTTTTTTAGTAAACTTGTGCTCCATCTTTTACAAGCCTGTTACACACCTGTTTTCCTTCATTGGCAGATGTTCCGGCACGCGGCAGCTGTTTTAAAATGAAGTTAGGGATACCAGCGGTAAGGTTTCATACATTGCATTTGATTCGCTGTGATTCAGGTGGTGCTTTCATGATTTTCATCATTCTTTTGATGAGTGCACATGACGAAATTTAAAAATGATAACTGGTACCGTGTATTTACTGCTTTTAATGAATTAAGCAGTTTCACTCTACATATATGCTACAAGAGCCATTGACCCGAAAGCGTAAACCAGTGGAAGATGAATTCAATCACTTTCTTCAATGAACTCATTTGCAAGAGTAAAAAATTGGAAAATTACTTCAAAATATTCGGCCTTTTTAATATTCGAGCTTCAATAATAATGTATTCTCTTCTCAAAGAATTTTCGAATGCTAAATATGCAAAACGTAATTTCTACATTATTATACAGTTGAATTCAATGATTGCAGAATATTTACATTTATTATCGCTGTCGCAATTTCGTGTAAGTCTGTAATTCAATCGTTTGACATTTATTGGAAATATTGTTATTACAAGCAATAGAAAATGAAGAAAAAGCTGCATTGACTGAGCGTACTGCTAATATAATATTGTTTTCACTTTTGTAACACTTTGCTAAAGGATTTGATTGATACGATTGATCGCCATATGGGCACGATATGCATTCAACTATATTGTATTCAGATTTTGCAAATTAACTCTAATTATTCGGAGTAATTAAGGTTTACCTGCTGTTCTGAAATTGTAAATCGTTATTGTGGCAAACACCCATAAACGTTCTAAAAGCCTTCAAACATAATGAATAAGAGTGAAGTAGTAGTATAAAAGTACTACTTCTCTGTATTTTCAAGTAATTGATATGAACGTATAGATTATTGTTACATACCAATTCAATTTTCTCTTTCTTATTCAACTTGGAAACAACGAAAAAATCGCCAATATTTTCAATTTATATGGAAATAATTAATATATCCTACATCATAATAGGCAATTTAAACCTGCGATTATTTTATTGGTAGTCAAGAACCATTTCATTATTACTTGTAGAGTAGATAACAGAACACTACTGAATGACTTTATGCCTCCTGGGCATGGAGATCGGGAAGAAATTTGCAAATTCATTGAGGTTTATAATCGAAAAATAATGAGAACAAGAAAACCACAAAGCTCGTTCCCGGAATTATCCAATTAAAAAAATTAAATACAATTCTTCTAAAACTCGATACCTTTTTTTGGAGTGCACCACAGCATCTTTAACAACAAAAACTGTACAACGTTAAACTATTTAAGTCGTTGAGTGATTTATAATATCGCTGATCGCTTGTAAGATTTAAACTTGGCTTTGATATACAAACACTAACAAGACAATGAAATGAAAAATAAATTTATAAGCAAATATTCAATTATAAAACAAAACGTGGCCTTAGTCAATCACATTCGATCCCCTAGTTCTGACTTCCAAAGGAAATATTTTTAACGACGGACTATTGATTTTATCTGAAGTAATCATTTATATTTGAAGTAATCAAGTTGAACAGAAATTGAACTGATAAGCATTAACCACTGAAAACACCAGCTGCTCATGCTAGCGAAACGTCAGAAAACTAAAATACCTGCCTCAAACCCCAAAATTTCACATTTCTGAAGCATTCATCACAGAAACCTCGCTTGGCTCGTGAATGATGGTTGATTTAAATACAGCAGTTGGTTAATTAAATGCATTAGAACAGAAAATGTTCTTTATTATATGTATACTTGTCACAAAACTTTTTCGGTGTGAGGTTTCTCTGTGTTAGTCAATTCAGAATGTTAATGCGGTCCTTCCTATGGTCACAAAAAACGAAGTAAAAATTTATAATAATCTACCTACATGCGCTGAATCCCTATACTCGTAAACATTAGGTAATTATCGCCAAACAGTTGAATTTGTTTGTTTGTTATTTTGCATTGCCCATTAACTTCAGCATGTTTGAGTATCATACAGATTAGACTTTCTTCAGGCCCTTTTTTGTTATGGACCAGCTAAACATATCATGTATGTATTATAATAAAATATTAAACAGACACGAATGATCTTTAGCTGCTAATAGTTTGTCTATACATGGGTTTCAGTAAAGTAGTTTTTTTTTGCTTTTCCCCATTTCTTTGAATAATAATGGATTTAGTCGAAAAACCGTAGGCAGTTATTTTTATAAAAAAGTGCAAATTAAGTTATTTTACATAAACCGTTTCACCTAATATTTTAATAACTAAGTCAATAAAAACTTACTTCACTCGAGTCGCAATTCTCAGGCTGACTATAAGTCCTGTGGGTGTGTTCTTTGCTACTTAATCTTGGGTACTTGGATACCGGTTCTTTATAACAATCGCTATCTGACTCGTCCGACGAACTTGCCGAATTCTGGAACAAATAAGTAAATACGTCAACAATATAATTTATTTAAAAAGAGAGAAATAAAAACACTAATTCGTTGCGGATATGACCTAAAAAATCCTTGCCCAATTATCACTTTAATTAATATAAATTACAATTGCCCAATTATTCACTGGTTAAGAAATTGCATGTTTAATTCATTATTTATTACTAAAAACTAAAAATATGCGTGAATAATACAACGAACACTTGAATTGAAATGCTTTATGTTTCAGTAGAATACAATACAAACATGTTCTTTTATATTTCTAGATTAAAATCAAGTTTCAAAACATAACCATATTTTGGGTATTATTTAAATATTGTACGTACTTTCCTGACTGTGTTTCAATTCCAAAATTAAAATCAAATCCTGGGTTCTTCAGTCATTTATTGTTCATTTATCAATTTAAAAAAACGTTTCGGTGTTTTCCACCATCATCAGTTTTAATGTGTAGCGT